CGTCGCGCTGCTGATGACGTCAGGTATGCGCTTTCGTCGAGCGTGCTTTTGTCTACCGCGGTTTTGACGGGTCACGGAAATAAGCTCCTGTATTATCGTAACTGTGGTCACTCAGACCAAGTGCACATTTTGAAAGCGTGCTTTCAATGTTACATGGAAATCGAAGCAACAGGCATCAAGGTACATGAACCTGCAACTCACCTGTGACTCCAGTTGCAAAGGATGAAGAATTTAAAGAAGCGCCCAATGTTTACCTCCTGAAAATATGGTAAATATACTGAAATCTCTTATGCTTAATATTCTAGGTTTATGCGTATTGCAATGAGACCTCCTCTTACCTGTAGACATCATATTGCTCACAGAAGCAAACTCCATAAAGGTGTTATAGTTGGGCAAGAAGTTGTGAACGGACACCTCATCGACTCCACACCTGATATCTGCTTCCTCACAGAGATGTCGGAAACAGGACATTGCCACAAGCACTGCCTCAGTGTCGGGGCTCCAAAGAGACATATACAAGGCAACCTCCAACTTGGTTTGGGCTTGGCGACATATTGGTGTCCCACTGCAACCGACGGTGCTTTCCTTTGGAGACAAAACATTGGAAAAATTAGCTGCTAGTTGTCCTTGTGGTAGTTTTTCACATACAGTACCATATTTTTCGGAGTATAAGATGCACTGGAGTATAAGACGCACCAAGATTTTGAAGAGACAAATTTTTAAAAAAAGTTTTTGCACTCTGCAGACCTCCCAAAAACAGCCTGTTTTTTGGTCAAAAAAAGGCCATACAGCCTTTAGGAGGTTTATAGAGTGCTCCCAGGGGCTGGGGGCAAAAACAAGCAAAAAAAACGGCCTGTTTGTCACTCATTTTTGTCCTTCCCAGCCCCCAGTAGCACTCTGGAGCTTCCTAAAGGCTGTGCATGGCCATTTTTGCAAAGGGGATGGGGTTTTAGGAGACCAAAAATGCTGTATTCAGTGTATAAGACACACCCAGATTTTCACCCTCTTTTCTGAGGAAAAGGGTTCATCTTATACTCCGAAAAATACAGTATTTCAATGCCTAATAAACATTCAGTTAGTCCTCAATATACAACCATTACCATCCAGTGTTATAATGGCAAGTTACAATGAAAAAAGTAACTTAAAACTGGTCCTCCCACTTATGACCATCGCAGCATCCTCATGGTCACATGATCAACAATTGGACACTTGTCAACTGATAGGTATTTATGAAGGTTGTAGCATCTCAAGGTTATGGGGGGGGGGGACGACACCTGATTCACTTAACCACCACATGATTTACTTAACAAATGCAGTGATTTGCTTAATGACCATGGCAGAAAAGGTCATTAAATGGATCTGATTGACTTAACAACCATCTTGCTTAGCAACAGAAGTTCTAGTTACGATTGGGGCCATAAGTCAAGGACTATCAGTTTCTAGAACATTAGATACTCAGTAGTCATGGAATTCCCATCCAAAATAGGTTTTTATCACAAATCCACTAGACCAAAAGGAAGTTTCTTTAATGGAAGAGACTATTATGCTACCAAAAAGTAAACTACTTTTTTTTCTTTGGATAATTCCCCAATTCACCTGCCTGGGTATCTGCAGAGGTTGGGATTGCATAGCAGGATTAGTTAAACATTAGAATTTGAAGGAGACCACTCCTTGAGAATTTTAAAGTAGTTGTCTATACCAGTGTTTTTCAACCTTTTTTGTGCAAAGGCACACTTTTTTCATAAAAAAAATCACGAGGCACATCACCATTAGAAAATGTTAAAAA